GGGGGGGGAGTCTGGAGAAATCATTTTAATGTAGCTACTCAATTGCTGAAAGGTAAGAATGCTTTGAAATAATGAACATACTTATTTTTCCTTCAAACAACATGCGGTGGAAAAACTTCATTCCTGATTTTATGTGCTCTGCAGACAAATTTAAATTCACTACTGTTGCACAAACTCTGTATTGGACTCTGTATTGGAGAGGTATTGGAGATTGTATAGGATTTCCAAAAAATGCAAGAATGTCGATTTGAACAATGATGCAAGAATAGCCATGCTGAAAAAAACAACAACTAGTAAGTCTGTTATGGAGTAAGACACTGTCAGACTGAAGCCTCAAGTTGGACTTTCCTCCTGTAGCTGCAGGTTAGTGACTAAAAACATCTCATCTTCCAGCTGTAATATAACCCATGGCTACACACAAGAGACTAAAACAAATGCTTACACACAGAGCAAGATCTGTGAGACAGGTCTTATAAGACTATCTCGCTATGAAAGTTCTGTCAACAGCACAGCTCCTCTGAGTTTAGGATGATTGCCATTCTGCTGCTTCAGATGATCAGCATGGACATAATGTGTGCCAGTGTGTGTACATGTGTGTGTGTGTGTGTGTGTGTGTGTGTGTCAGATGTCCCATACTCTACTCTAGTGCGGAGATTTGACTTGGCATGTGGAATCATCTCAGCCAAATAGCAGAATACTTTCCTTGTTTAATGAAAAATAAACCCTCGAGGCAAAATAGGAAACTAAATGTCTTGTAAAGAAGGCTGTGTTTTTTGCAGTGTGGGCAGCCTTGATGTCAAAGTGAAAACAGCTGAGAAGTGACACAGTGCAATCATCACCAGGGCTGGAAAACTATAATTCAGTTTTTAACTGTTCTGTGAATTACATTATTTTATCTTTACAGCAAGTCTACCTTTAATATACAATCACAAAGCGTACGTATATTACTTTCTTATTCCCGATTGCATGCTGTGACAGTGATTACAACATCACAGTTTCTCTCCCGCACCTGCAAGAAATTAAAACCATATGTCCTGTAAAAGAAGTGAACTCTACTAATAAGTTGTTTTAAATGAGACCATCGGTTAAACACCTGAAATAAGTATGATTTATAACGACTAGAACAACCGGCTATTATCACAACACATATGCACAACATAATCACTGCTCTTTAAAACTATGACAGAGTTTATTCATCTCTAACAATACTGATCAAAAATCAATAATATTATAAATCAACAATACCACTACTTAAAAGCAACAAGCAATCAAGTGGTGAGGGGAGTGTGTGTGTGGGGGAGTATGTGTGTAGGTGTAGGAAGGGGAGGAGGGAGAAAAAAGAGAGAGCAAGATGGTGGACGAAGTCACATGAGTGATTACGCAGTCAGTCAAACATGCAGTCAGAAAGACTTCATAAAAGGTGAAAAGGTGTTTAGGTGGACAGTTCACGTCCAAAGAACAGAGAACAAGCTGTACACAAGTATGATTACACTACCAGTGAAACCCCTCTTTACACTGTAGATAACTTCTGCCTGTCATTTGCAAAGTGAGGAAAGATTTAGTCCCATAAGAAATCTCAGAATCTCCTTGGTAGCAGATGAGCCATAAAATGCGGAGACAAAAATCTCAGGCATCTGCTTTTCAAAAGGCCATCAGGGAGTCTGGACTTTCTCTTGGTTACATAAGGAATGGAGCTTTAAAGTCTAAATGCCTTTAACAGCACAGCTACTGCCCGGCCACTAAGTTTCCTCCCCTCCCTCTTTGCACAAACTTACCCTATAGACCATAGCGGCTGTGTAAACCTGCTCCCTAAAATGACCAACAACCAAAATTCCAAAAAGGTTCGTAACGATGCGCTTTATAAGTATAAACATTTTCACTTTCAATTAAGAAGAAGTGGATGATGTAGATAGATATAGGCGGCATGTCACGACATCGAGGTCTGATAAGGTTGCAGGACAGACTAAACTACAGGGGAGGAAAATGAAGGTTACAAACAGAATTATTGTTGACAGAAAAGCTAAATAAAGGATTTATGAGAGAAAGAAATACAAAAGAAAGACAGAAAGTGAGAGAGGAAGGACAATGTTATTCTCTTTTGAATGCTCCCAGCCTGAGAAAAGACACCACCAGCTCTTGTAAAATTTGTTTACATCTTTCAAGCATCTCATCGTTTTTAACAAGGCCAAGAACTTTCTTAACAGCAGAAAAATGAGCTTTGTTTTTTATTTGGGAGCAAAAGGGAAAGTGAGCATCTCCTTCGACGTGAGCCAGCAAGCACTTTTTTTATTAGAAGTGATAGTACATGCGTCTATACGTGTGCGTGCGTGTGTGTGTGTGTTTGTGTGTGTGTGTGTGTTTACACAGCTGGAAGTACAGAGTGGAATCACTTCAACTGGCGGGGGTTCCTGGGGTGTCTGCTGTGATCCCATTAAAAGGCAGACAGGCTCTGGCAGCCTCTCCAGAAAACAAGAGGACTTCACTTACCAAAATATCCCTGCATTACAGCTCAAAAAGCAGGCCAAATCCCTACAAACCCCTGTTGAATTCACTTAGTGGGCACACGGTTCCCTTTCTAACCTCCTGATAGCTGATTGCTCTGGCAGGGTTCAGGTGGATCTGCTGAGTGGCCTCCAGCCCAGTTTCCATTCAAGTTTCCACTCAGACCCAGACTCCACACTCTCATCTCTCTTGCTCTCACCCCAACCCGCCCTCTTCACATCCTCCTCCTCAGGCAAAGTCCAAAAGCCCAAAACACTCACGACAGATTTACTGAAAGCTCCATATCAGTAGGTGTTTAAATATCTATCTATCTGTCTGATAGTCTCTCTCTCTCACTGTTCTTTGCTTCCCACCATCAACCTGCACTGTGGCGGCTGCCCTTGGAGCTTCCTGTAGATGTGATTCACCAATGAGGAGATATTACACTGAGCATATTTGTGGTGGAGATAAAAAAAAAACTCAACGATCCCAGTCCCTGATCTATCCATCTCACTAATAGCTGTTCTGAGTCATGGTCTGAGTTACGGGACGGAGGGCAGCATAGCGCAATCCAGCGTTACATTATCGATTCCCAGCTCACCTCAGCAGGGCCACGCTCCGCCTGCCTGCATGCCGGCCAGTTTCCCGGAAAATCTACCGGGCACGCTGTGATACCGAGTTCTGGGCATTGACATCCCTCCAGGGCTTACTCACTTATCTAAACAAGGCCTTTTCACATTACACACACGCTTAGACAGGCATCCCATACGAATACGCAAAAAAAAAGCATCAGGATATCAAAACACACACTTGTACGCCTGGCACAGGATGAGACCAAGCATGCTGCTCACTAATCTTCTGGTCACTGTCCTGCAGTCAACAGAAATAAAGTGGAGAGATCAGAACCAATTAGCTGTGAGGGTGAAGTGGGGGGGAAGCAGGCCTGTGAAGGAGCGTGCTGTGGTCCAGCAAGGCCTGTAATGTGGATCAAAGCGTCAACAAAAATGTACTAAGTCTCGGTTTCATCAGCCTGCTGTCCCTGCCCGGCTCTGTTTACAGGCCTGATTGAGCTGCATTGAAAGCAGATCACTGGCTGCTCACTTATCGTTTGTGCACTGTCCAGACCAATAAAACTCATATCCATACATAAACAGGCTGCCAGACCCTGCAGGGAAAAACAGTGGCGTGGCCCACATAGTGAAGCACTCTTGCATGTAATTAAAGCAAAAAACCAAGCAATTAAAATCACATCATCGGATTCACACACTGTGGGAGATGGGGAGAATTGTGGATTCAAATGATAACTGCACTTTAACAACAACCAGACAGACAGACAAATGGGGAATGTGTGTGGTGTGTGTGTAGGTCTAAATCTGCATGCTTTTAAGTGAGATTCAATATTTGATAGCAAAACATAGGCAGCATTTCAGAGGGGAAGATTCAATCCATACCTGTGTGGCCTTTGGTCTTTGGCAAATCAGTGGAGGCGAGGGTCAAAACCGGGGCTGGAGGACACAAAAGGAAAATGTGTCATGCAGCTGTAGCCAGACGCTGCCAATAAACTGGGTCATTCTCCGGACATTTACACAAATCTACAGTTACAATTCAAACACCTTTGAAATAAGATTTGCCTCATCCATCAGCGATGTAAAGGCAAAACAAGATTTTATTGCACTTAGCAGATTATGTACAATGGTCTTCATAGCAGACTGCAAAGATCAGAGAGACCAGATCTTTAATTACAATGATAAAACCTGAAGCCTCCTAAGCTGATCTTTCTGCCCAAATGGTCTCCTATTTCTCGAGCTGCCTCTCGACATGCAGAGGTGGAAATCTTTAGCAGTCAGTCAAACATTTGACAAGATTTTGCAGCAGCGATGAAAAAAAAATGGAAAAGTGGCATCTTAATGTGGAAACTGTGATTATTTAGGACAGGACAGCAACCCTGAGAACAGCCATCATAAAACAGAATGGTACATTTTTCTTGCTCCCGTGGGCCAATTTGCTATGCAGTCAGTAGACGTTGAAGCACATTAAACAAACAAATTAAACAAGTGGCATCAATAATCCGAGCAGTGAAGAACAAGCTTTGATTTTAATTGGAAACATGTTCAGTTAAACCTGGGTAGGCACTCGGGATACACTGTTCCATACAATTCTAAACAGTAAACTTCAGCGGATTTATTCATTTATTTTTTTAAAGAGGCTTGCACGCAAAAATGCTGACTGTTAAAACAGATACAGATACTGTGTCGTAAATCATTTACTCAATCACTACTCGGAGGTCTAAACAGAGGACTACCGGGTGGTTAAGGAATGAGTCCAACGACCTGGAAAGGAGTTAGCATTTTTACACTTCCGGTTCCATCATCTCAAAGTCAATGTTGTTTTGGTTAGAGGCCTGAGACAAGGTTTGTGGTTTACAAAAGCTTCAAAGAGCCTGGACCAGGCATAACAATGGTTAGGCTGAAATACAGGCCTGCCTGTTGTCACGTCCTGAAAGCATCTCTTTTTTTATTGTAACAAAATCTTTGCATTTATAGGGAACTCACCAAAATGCACTGTGTAACCTTGAGGTACAAACCAGAATTACCACCTTGCGGTTGTATGGCTCAGTCAAACAGCCCAGTTGCAGTTTACATGCATGTCTGTCCAAAATGTAACCATATTATCCTTTTAGCATTTTATCTTTGCATTAAATTGTCATAATTAGCACATGAATTATTAGTGACCTTTGACCAACAAATTCTAATCATTTCATCCTTGAGTCAAAGGGGATGTTTGCACCTTGAGAATGGACTGGACAGGCAACCGAAAAAAATGATGCCTCCGACCACGGCTAGCGCCAGCACATAGGCACAAAAACGTGTCAGGTGCAGTTCCTGTCTCGTAAAACATTTGCAAAGCTGATTTTTTTTTAAGTTTCTTTATATTTTTTTTCATCTAGCCTTGACTAACTTGCAGTCCTCTCCTTCTTTGCTGGCACATTGCAGCTTATTTCCACTCCTATAATCCACTGTAGCAAATCCGTCAACCGGCAAGCATCTGCAGTCAGCGCAAGATACCTCTGCCAACATGTTGATATTTGGTGCAGGTATGGCAAGCTACGGCACGCAAACAACCGGCTAACCAGATTGCATCATGACAGCACATTTTTGAGTGTGCCCACCTGCAGCCTGAAGAAAAAAAACTCCTGTGCTGCCAACAGCTGCATCATGCAAGACCTGTAGGCTGGTCTGCCCCATTCAGACTTCTATGCCCCACTCACAATGCAAGAATTGTTAAATGAGACAGATCATGAGCTGCAATACACCTTCTACGTAACCGGATCCCAAAACACATTCAAAGTGACTCAGGGCCACGTTATTTATTCTAGATCATCTATTTTGAACCACAGTACATCTGTCAGTCTAATGGGAAATTCGTAGCACAGAGCTTTGATAATTAAGACATGTACACCAAACACCTGTTATCATTCCATTTCAACAAGATCTATGGTAAGTGCCTACAGCAATGCACTGAACTGTAGAGAGGGTAAACAGCATGACACGTGCCTGAACTTTGGGAAATATCCCTCAAACACAATGAGCACACAGATACACTCGATGCATATAAAGCATGCATGCACGCAAGTGCCAGACAGATCCTGTGCAGTGCTGTTTTGATAGGCAATGAGTTGAGTGTTGGAGATGAGGATGTGTGTGAAAGACTGGGCCTGCTCGGAAGCTGCTGTGCATGAAGCCTTGGAACACACACATGGAACACGTAATTGAATGAAAAACGGTCTCTCGCTAGATCAAGACAGTTTTCTGGCATCGTAATAAAAGCATGAGGTCGGTACAGGCTTTAGTTTTTTGCTGCATTCGTTGTGTTTGCAGCACTTTGAGCCCTTTCATTAGTCACTCTACATCCTCCCTGTGCCAAAGCGTGCATAATGTCATGAACCTGTGTTGTTCAATCGTTTACAAAAAGTATAAATCAGATCAAATAAAGGGTGGGAAAGAGCTGTTTCCAGGAGTGAGAGAAAGAGACAGAGAGATTGGCAGAGTGATTGGCCGTGCAGTTGTTCCTGCTGCTGCTACTCTCCCTCTTCAGTGTTGCAGATCTCCTGCCAAGATGGACAACCACACACACACATGCACACAAACACACACTTCTCTCTGCTTGGCTTCTCAACCCACACCCTCACACTATCTCTGCCATTCACACTTACATTAACCACAGGCGGCCATGACGTACGAGTCAGTGGCATGCAAACAAGAGGTGCAGCAGTTACATGCACACAAACAAAAATAAATGGTAATGTGTATGCCAGACAAGGGCTGACATAGTGTAAGTGATTTACAATCTATGGATACAGAGAAAGAAACCATATGTGTCAACAAGCTCTAAGTTTTACTTGCTTTTTGCAAACTGGCTTCCACAGTCAACAGAGCATATCTCATTCTACTGACTCGGTGGGAAACTTTTAATTATCTCTTAGAGGAAAAGAAATAGTAGCCCATTCCCTTAAGTGTATGGGAACAGTATCCCACGTGATACAGAACTACCCTCTAAACTTTTTTCACATGTGATTTAACTGAGTGGCCCAAAGTTTAACCTTTAAATTCTCTTGGCTGTCTATGTAGGCATAACAATGTGGGAAGTTTGAAAATGAACATGCTCCAGTGACTGACATCCTGCCATTGATGTCTGATGAAGTCGGGGCAATTATAAACACAATGACAGGATCGGTTTTAAAACTCTCAAGAAGTGATATATTTGGGGTAGAAAACATTTACCAGTAACAAACCGAAATATTTTTTAAGTATTGAAAAATATACATACCTTGTGTTACGCCTGAAATAACTGTGATTAGATGTACAGTTTACACACTGTCATTTTTATTCAGATATCCTGTTGGTACATGTTGTGATGACTTCGGTAACATGTACTTAAACTTGCTGTACACTGGGATTGATTTGCCCATTCAAAGTTACTTGACTTCTAGTTTTTAAAGGAAACATTGGGTATCTCATTTAGATGTTGGCATTCATCTACAAATCCGTTGAATAGAATGTATCACTTGAAGTTGTATTTGAGACAACTTTGTTGGACATCCATTTTTCACCACCTGGCAGTGAGCATTAACATTAGACTATCCAAATGAAGTGTTATTGCTATAAACCCTTTTCACTGTATTATCTAAATCAGATGCAAAAAGTAGGTATGATTTTATGGATGTCAGCCAAATTTTCATTGTAGTGTAGGTTTTCCCAAATGTCAAACAATGGCCACACTTAAAATTTAAAGTCTGCCCCGTCTTTAAAAAGATTAATCTACTCACAAATAACAACAAACATGCAAGATTATCTGTGTTTTACAACTTCTGGCCACACTTGAAGAGAATAAATATTTACTGAGAATGAGGCGATGGATGGATTTAATGGCTTTCAAGGAAATAAGTGAATGGTTTTGGCTTTGAGTCGTAGAGCTGAAGTTTGGCTGTCATGTGTCCTGTAAACCCAGACCCCCTTGTGATGGTTGGTTTTAGTCACTGGTTATATAAAGACAGAAAGATGATTAGAGAGAGAGGATTTAGAGGGCAATGAAAAGCAGACCGTGGCTCACTGAGCAAGTTCCATGATTAATTCCACATTTCTTTCTGGCACATACAGATACCATTTTCTTCTGTTGCTATCCCTCTATCTCCATTTTGCACACACAAATACACAAACCATGCTGCCTTTACACTCACACAGGGCTCAGAGACAGTCCTGCCAACAGGTTTAGGAGATAATGTTACAAAAGTATCAACAAAAACACTGGTCGTGTCATCAGGGTACACTCTAGAGCCAAGGTTTTACAAAAGGGATTACAGTGTGTGCACAGCCTGAAACATTGTCTGCAATTTGAAGCCACTCACTCAAGTCTTATGCATCACTGTCACAAGGACATGCGAGGAGTGTCGACCTGAACGGGAGCCATGAAAATCAAATCCTCTTAAGTGATCCCAAGGTTGGACCAAGCTGTAACTGCCTGGATGTTCCCAATCATTGCTGAACTTGCTGAAACCATGACTTAACCAGCATGACATATTGTTATTCCTGTTTCTAATTAGCTTAGAATCCAGCTTTTTGTCAGAATTATTATCCATGTGAGTATAAGACCCTGGTGTACTGCAGTTCCACCTGCAGCAAGACGACGCGTTCCAAGACCTAGTAGTGACCCACAAGTCTTTAACACTGCTTCATTGCAGAGCTAACATGCACGTTTTCTTTAAAACTGTGAAGCATAATCGTAAACACATTGAGAACGAATGTCTAAATATGTAGAGTCAGTGTTGCCAATCGATAAGAAAGAAAGAAACCCATTATAACTGCAACTTCAGGCTATGCTTTTGACAGAAAGACCATAATTCTCCTGCCAAATAATCCATGTTAATTATGATAAGGAACCTTATTATTCACCCTCGAGGGAAACAAAGTTTTCACAACGATTATTTGGTCTGTGCTTTGCTGCAGGG